AAGAGCAAGTGATCACCAGTGGTGGAAAGAGATCAAGCGGCACTGGACGACAAAGGAAGTTCAATCCTGCTTCGGTTGTGAATTTTGAGACCGAACACGCTGGCACCAAGATGTTGTTTCCCCCAAGACGTTTGCAGTCAGATACGTTCCAGAACAACACTGCTGGTTGCAACGATTTCCAGAGGAGAGACCGCGAATCCTCATGGAACAATATGCAAGAGAAAGTGGTGACCTGTAATGACGAAAACAGAGCCAGTGGCACTGATCAACAAAGAGAGTTAATTCCAGCTTTGTTACCCATTTCAGAGTACCGACAAGCTGGGATGAAAGTTCCATATCCTCCATTAAATTATCAGTCAGATATCCACCGACACAAAGCACCAACTTACAGTGAATCCCAGGGAAAATTCTGTTACAATACCACTGAGGTTAAAGCCAGTCGTGAAGCCAGTTGGAATGAAACACAGAGGAAAGATCACAAATCGTCATATATTAATACAAGTGAGTACCTTGTCTTCTGCAATGGTGCAAACAGGCCCAATGGAATTGCACGACGTAGAAAGTTGAAACCCTCTTCTGTGGCCATTTTAGATAATGAACAAGTTGGCTTCAAGGTGCCGTTTCCTCCAAGAAGTATGCAATCAAATATCGTCCACAGTAACACAGCCAATCGTGATGGATTCCAGAGAAAAGACGATCGAACCTTCTCTTACGATACTCACGAGGACCAAGTCCAAAACAGACCAAGTGGTGCTGAACGCCGTAGAAAGTTCAATCCAGCTTCTGTGGTCAACTGGGAGACTCACCAAACTGGCTTCCAGATGCCGTTTCTTCCAAGACGTATGCAGTCAGATGTCTCCGAGAATAATGCCACGGGATGTATTGAATACTCGAGAAAGGACCATCAAGCCTCCTTTCACGGTACTCATGACGAGCAAGCCGCCAGCAACGGGGAAATAAACAGGCCCAGTGGTATTGCACAGCGTAGAAAGCTCAACCCAGCTTCTATTGCTACGTCTGGGACTCACGAAGCTGGCTTTCCTCCAAGACGTATGCAGTCATATGACTTCGAAAACAACGCCACTGGTAGTAATAATATCCAGAGAAAGTACGGTAAATCCTTGTGTAACAATATTGGCGAGGACCTGGTCACAAGCAATATTGAAAAGAGACCCAGTGACACTGCACGACGTAGGGAATTCAATTCGGCTTCTGTGGCCGCGTCTGAAAACCAACCAGCTGGTTTGAAAGTGCAGTTTCCCCCAAGATGGGAGCAGTCAGATGTGATCCCAAATTATAGCTCTGCTATTTGCAAATTACATCAAAGAGAAGGCCACGATGACTATTACAGCTGTGTTCACGAGGAACAAGTAACCGACATCAGCGAAAACAACGCAAGTGCCATTAAGCGACATACAACGTTTAGTTCAGCCTCGGTTGCCAGCGAACAAGTTCGCCTTCCATTTCTTCCAAGTCTCAATGACCGGCCTAAACGCCATCCAAGAGGAAGAACGCCAAGAGTCGCCGTGTGTAGTGGCGCTGAATCTGCTGCTCTTGAAAGTGAGAGGAGAAGGGCTCGGGTTTTCCTGAGGAGATTTGGAGAAAGAAACATACCAGACACTCCACACAACCAGCAGTAAGAATAGTGACATCATTCCAGTGAAACTGCTAGGTGTTAACTATTTAACCTAAAACATTG